GGACTGATTCGGAAGATGAAAAAGCAAAGCAAGATCCAAATGGATTGCAGCAGCAGCTTAATGACATGATGCGACAAAATAGTGAACAGCAGCAAACTATCCAACAACTCATGCAACAAATACAAAATCTCACAGCACAGATTCAAGTATTAACTGCGCAAAATCTTGCTGGAGGGGCAAATTCCAGTCAGGTCAATGCAGTGAACGCTTTTCCTGCTTCGTGAAATGCGGAGTTCCACCAAAGGATTAAGCATGAATCCTTTGTTTGGAACATCATCCCCCACTGTCTCTGCTTTAGTTGTTGGGGTGAATGTTGTAAAGGTGGTTCTGAAAATGATAATCGCCTCAACTGTGATTCGACTTTCCCTTCATCGTGGGAGGAGGCCTTTCATCGTACAACTTGCGCCATTCATGATAGCCAGGATAAAGCTAAAATGTCTCTAGGTCCTTGGAACGTTAATGCCCTTACCCCGCATATTCATGAGGTCATCGCTTTAAATGCTGATGTTATAGCTCTTCAAGAAGTTCGTGTTGGTGCTGATTCTATGTCAAGCATACGGTCAACATTTCAGCAACATGGCTATAACTTGTACTTCAGCGGTCTTCCGAATTACAAACAGCAAGGGCACAACAAAAAGTCGATTCATCTTGATCAAGCCACACCTGGAGTTGCCTTTGCTATTCGATCACACATTCCTGTGCAAGAGATTAGCATTGACAAGATGAGCAGCTGGTTCCATAAAGGGCGTTTCCTCGCTGTGAAGATCTTCGCTCAGCAAAGGTGGATTACTTGTTTTAATGTTTATGCGCCCACGCAGAACAGTATGCCGTTTCTTGACGAGCTTCTGCCTATGCTGGAAGATCACGCGCATCATAGCTGCATCCTTTTTGGGGACATTAATGCGGATTCACGCACCGGTCAGTTTGTTCAAAGTTGTCTTGATTCCAGCTGGTACCCGCTCACCTGTAGCACTAATTTCGATTTCTTCACTTATAAACACAGCAATGGCAACACTAGCTGCATTGATGTTATTGCCGTGACGGACCTACTTAAAGAATCCATTGCCCCGGTTCAAGCCACTGAAGTTCTTGACAAAGGGCATTCGTTTGTCCACACGTCAATTCACAACAACTTTCAGCAACAACCCACTTGGGAGATTTACCATCAAGCTAACTTCACAATTGATGACACTTGCGAAAATGAATGGCAAAAAGTTCTCTCACTATACACTTCGAAAATTGAGGACACATGCATTGATGCAGACTGGGAGCTGTGGTGTCAAACTTTCCAGAAAATTCACAACCATGCAGGGGCCGTCCTGGGAATGCAACCTCGCTTCCGATTGCGTGAGCAATTTAAAAGTAGCAAGTTGCATTTTCAATTAGGACAGGCCATCCAGAATCAGGATTGGCTGCAACACAAAACCATCTTGTCCAAATTACAGCAAATTTCCAAAAATCAGCTGAAAAAGTGGAGGCTGAAGATCCAAAAGAACGGTCAGTCGCAGCACACTTGGACTAAGAAGCTCTTCAAATGGGCTCGAGCTCCCTCACCGCCTATCCCTTCTTGCATCGAGAGTGAAAACTTTGGACAGGACGGTTTCACAAACTGTTTGCATGATTCTCTTAAAGAAATTACAAATTTCTTTGGGAAAGTTTACAAAAGCAGTGGGGCACTTTCTCCTGAGCAGCAAGCAGTTCCACGCCAATACTGTTGTGATGCTTCACAAGTTTTGGATATCAACCAACATGTTCAGACTATCATTGCGAAGGCTGATGCTTCCAAAGTCCCGGGACTTGATGGATTAGAAGTTGCGCATCTCAAGCAGTTGCCTTACGCTGCCGTGCTCTTCCTTGCACACATCTTTCACAAGTCAATCCAGCAACATCGTGTGCCCTTGATGTGGCTTAACTGCAAAATGACTTGCATACCTAAAAAGCAAGGGAAAACTTCAGTTAAAGATTTAAGGCCTTTGACAATCACACCTGTGTGTTACAGGATTTTCTGCAAGACCATTTTGCTTATGTGTCGTGAAACACAGCAAAATATTTCTGAACATTCGGTTGGAGGTGTTAGTGGAAGGTCTGCTTTTCATGCCTGGTTGCCTGCAGCACTCATGTGTGAGGCCACTTGGAGGCTTGATCCACTTGTTCGCGCTACAATCCAAGGTGTTGCCATTGATACAGAAAAATTCTTTGATAATGTTCCCATGGACAAAGCTTGCGAAAGTTTACTCCATATTGGTGTCCCTACCTCCGTTGTTGCGACGTGGCAGTTTATGATTACCAACATTCAAAGATTTGCCTCGCTTAATGGTTCTGTTTCTCAAAATGGATTCAGGGCTTCTTTGGGAATTCCGCAAGGTGATCCTTTAAGTATGCTTGCTGCTGCTACAATGTTAGGAGCGTGGGCCAATGAATTGCCCCATGAGGAAATCTTTGCTAAGGTTTTTGTGGACGATCGCCTCATGTTGGGTAGTAGCGCACAGCATTTACAGCAAGCCTTCCACATCACTCAGTTTTGGGACAGTTCTTATGAGTTTAAGACTGAAGCCAAAACTGTTGCGTTTGGTGATAACGCCGAGGCTGAAAATCTTTGGTGGCTCGATGGTTACGAAGTTAAAAGACAAAAACAAATTGTTTATCTTGGGATACCACTCCCTCTCAAATGCACTTCGGCCTCCAAATTTTTCAGTCCCATCTTACAAGACTGCTATGTCCTTTTGAACAAAATCAGCAGATCACGCATTACTCATGACAATGCAGTTACTATTGTTGCTAGGAAGATCATCCCCGCCATTTGCTATCCGTGTACTGCCGTCAGGCCCACTAAAGCACAAATTGAAAATTTAAGGTCAAAGATCTTTGAAGCGACTGCCTTCCGCAAATGTCAAACACAAAATGCACATAGTGTCTTTTGCGAACAAACACATCTGTTTGATCCGGAAAGCGCTATGGTCTATCATAATTTAAGGTTCTGGAGACAAGTATTTATTCAAGCACCGTTAATTGCACAACAACTTAAGGACATGCTTGAGCAATCTGTCCCTTCCAAACATGATCTTTATGGTCCCATGACCATTTTTCAAAGAGACCTGGATTGGTTATGCTGCCGCTTCTCACCCGACGCTGATGCTATCAGCAACAGTGAAAATGATTGCATTCTGTTCACTGAGCCTGACAAAAAGAAGTTTGAGCATTTTATTCGAGAGCAGATCCGTAGACGATTTTATCAGCAATTAGAACAAAAACATCCAAAATGGAAAGGAGTCGTCGATGTTGATTTGCAAGCAACAACAAAACTGCTTCGAAGCTTAGAGCCGTCATCGCCTTTTAGGAACCCAGTCATCCGGATGTTATCTGACGCTCATGCTACACCGTATAGGCTTCATAAGATGGGCATTAAAGCTACTCCGCACTGTCAATATTGCCTTCATGAGGAAGGCAATATTAAACACATTATATGGGAATGCCCACGGTTCGCTGAGCTTAGACGATCCTGGCCTCAGGAACTTCTTGATAACAGTCAATGGCCGGAATGCGCTAAATCGGCCCTAATATGCTCCAATCTGCTCCCTGAATCCACGCGTGGTAAATGGCATCAGCTCCAACTTCTGGTTGCGCAACTTTTGTATCAGTGGATGGAAATGAACAGAGACCCTGATAACTACCAGCAATTTGCGCCTGAAGAAAATCAGCAAAATGACATTTGCGGAGAGGTTCTCCCGATGCAGAACAGACAAAAAACGGAAATGTGCCTTTCGCAAGCACTTCCTTTGCAATGGAATCCCCCTAGCACACGCACTGAATGGAACAAATGGGGTAGTACTATTAAAGATTTTGCGCTGATTTTCTCTTTTTGGGCAAAATGGACCAACATTCACTGTCAAGGTGCTGTCAAAATTCGCACTTGGACTCAAGCACTTGCCCTGTTTGTACAATATGGCGGAATTGATGCTGATTTCTTGGGTCAATGCCAATTCATTGGTATGGCTTCTTATAAATTAAGAGTGCTCACTTCTTTTCTGTTTCAAACACAGCAGCATAATCATGAATTACATAGCATGGCTTTCCTCAATGACAGACATGACAAATGGCTTGCTGCCTTTCCGAATGAGACGGCATTCCCCGATAATTTATACTTCATTCCTGATTGGGATCTTCTTGAGGCTTCTAATAACGTCCAAAAACTTCGAGTTGAGACTCGACTTGCCTCAAACATCAGCCCACATGTTCTGCGTATCACAACTATCGCTTTCTGTGAAGCGGTAGGTATTAAGGCAAAAACACTTATGAGTAGTCCCTTGTCCGAAAAATGGCCGATTCCGAGATTTAAGAAGAAAGGCGCGCCCATTCCATGGGTTCTTCAAATTAGGGAGATCAAAGTTGGCCTTCACCAGCAGGTGAAGTGCATTTCTCAAATCCCTCTTGAAAAATGGATGTCCATGTCTTCAGTTGAAATTAGAAATACTCTTCCGCCCAAGCCTGGGCCTTTGAAGCGATTCAGAGCTGCTAAGAAAAGATTGACCAGATTTAAAGATACCCTTGAAAGATACAAGCAAAATCAATTACTTGAAAATGACTTTCGCACACACATCATTCAGCCTGTCTGGGCTTCAACGGAAGCTTGTGCAAGTTGTGGCAAGTTACTCAACTTTTCTGTTGAGCCACGAAACCTCACGCGCCGTTGTCCGAGTCCCTGCGACTTCTGTGTACAGTTGCTAGATTCCTGGTCGGTACAGTACGACTCGATGTTAAACTGCATTGATCAAATCATTGCAGTAATTAGTTAAGACGCCTAGCTCAAAGACAGCTAGCTTATTCAGCGATGCAACACGCATCTTTCGAAGTACTCGCCTCAGACTTCTGTCCGATCCGCCCCAAAACCTAATTCTGATTATTAAGGCCCCTATTACACTACTAGGGTAAGGCTTAAGGCTTACAGGTAGAACAATACCACAAGATCATGCCCTCAGCCAACGAAAAAGACGACTGCAATGTCAAAACTGCCAGGTGACTGCCGCTAGTTCTGCTTCTACGTCCATGCCCTTGCTGCCCACATTCGCGCTCCTACTCCTGCCGCCGCTCTTCTTGTCACGATGATAGTATCAGATAACAAAGTCTGCCCTCCTCACCACAACCCTGTATAGACTCTACGCCCTAAACTCCAAACGCTGAAAGCCGTAAAGAACTCCAGGTCGCCTCCATTGGCTCTGCCCCCTCCTCATCTTCGTGCGTGATGCCCTGGCCACATGCTTCTTGCTGAGAGGCGTCAGGTGCATTCAGGGCTTCCAGTTTGGGGGTTAGGCTTTCGTGGTTTAGGCTTATCGGTCAGGGTTTACTACTACTAGTACTACTACTACAACTACTACTCCTCCTCCTACTCCTACTCCTAATCCTCTTCCTACTCCTATTCCTGCTCCTACTCCTACTCCTACTCCTACTCCTCCTCCTGCTCCTACTCCTACCCCTCCTGCTACTACTACTCGTACTCCTAATCCTACTTCTACTCCTACTCCTACTCCTACTCCTGCTCCTACTCCTACTCCAACTCCTCCTCCTCCTCCTCCTCCTCCTCCTCCTACCACTACCACTACTGCCACTACTACTACTACTACTACTACTACTACTACTACTACTACTACTACCACTACTACCACTAGTACCACTACTACCACTACTACCACTACTACCACTACTACCACTACTACCACTACCACGACGACTACTACTACTACTACTACTGCTGCTGCTGCTGCTGCTACTACTACTACTACTACTACTACTACTACTACTACTACTACTACTACATTCAATAACATCGACATCCAGCAGCGCCTACACTCTCAGCCATGCCTACTCAATTACCCGCAGCGTCACTACCCCTTACAACAACATCTCGTATGCGAGAAGTCCTGTAAAGTAATAATCTCGAAGCCCAAACCTCAAAAATCTTAAAGCCCCATACCGTGAAACCGCATATCCTTGAACCCCAAACCCCGAAGTCCTAAACACGCAGGCAGTGTGTTCTCTGCCAAACTTGTATGTTACACCCTACACTGCCCTCTAGGGCTCCTCCAAGACACCACACAAAAAGACCTTCAAGCACAGAGTCACTGATCTCTAAACTTCTACGGCTTCTGCACTGTAAACACTGAACCACCTAGACCCTATTGCACCTATTGCACCCTGTAAAGCTGCAGCAGCCAGTCTAACAACCCTGAAAATCGCCAGACCAAAATCCCGAAACTCTGCAATACCCAGCGAAGATATATCAAGACTCAAAACAAACACACACACACACACACACACACACACACACACACACACGCACACGCACACGCACTCGCACACGCACACGCACACGCACAACAAAAAAAATAACAGACCACAACAGAGCAATAAACTCAAAACCGTCAAGAGCCACCTGTGCAACTCGGAGAGCTTCAGCTTGCTTAGCCTCGTCATCCTCCTCCTCCTGCCAGCTTGAGGTGTATGAAGATGTATGTCTTCTTTATCTTATTTCGTGCGCGTGTTTTTCATGCTTTGTAGCTTCCCAGCAAGTCTTTGCTTTTGTGGGATTGCCGTTAGATCTAAGCACACAAGCTCCACGAAATCCCGTAAAACACAGGTACAGATGAAACCGGTACCATAAGGCGACGCCGCAACACCCGAATCCAAAGAACCGGTGTGAAAAACTGAACGGCTTTGTTGGGGTTCAAGGCTCACGGAAACCAAGTCCTTCGATGCTTCCGGCGTCTCCTCCTTCGACGGTCCTGCGTTTATGAGCGGCTTGCACGCATCGACAAGTAATCTAGTTGATGGTTGGGATGGGATTAAAAATATTGAACTTTGATTCCTTATTGGGTTTAAGTACACATAAAAATATATAATGTTACCCAACTATGACAAAGTAGTAGCGTCTAAGATAGCTGCTGTAGAGCAGGTGGCCGGTTTGGGGTTGTCGCCAGGTGTTGGAGTGGAGCTCAGGGTTCGTAGGGAGGGAAAGAAAGAAACCCTAAACCCTAAAACAAAGCCTCAGTGAACTGTGAACGAAAAGGCTCAAGGCTAGGATTTACCCGAGTTTGGGGGAGTATAATCTTTGCATTCCAAGTATTTACACCTTCCAGGCTTCCTGCCTTGAACTCTAGGGGATATGGGTTTACACTGACTCGGCATTAGGGCACCTATAAAGCCTTCATGATTAATCAGAATGAACTCTGCTGTTCGTTTTGGAATAACCACATCGCACCCATAAGGGATACTGTTACGAGTTCCCTAAGCCCTAAACTCTAAACCCTAATACTACAGTAAACCCCATGAAGTTAGAAACAGAATTAAGGCCAAATGGTGCTGGGATTCCCTCTGAATTGCTCTTTAGGATCGAGGCTATTGGGTTTCCAACTGTTGGGCTTCTACGTACTGTATTCAGATCGATGTATGGGGAGCGGAGATCGCATGCAGGTGCCAAGATGGCCTTGCACGTGCCCTTGTCCTTTTAGAAATAATAGACAGAGCCCTATACCTATATCCCTTAGTAGGAATTATTTAAGAGGGTCTACCAGCCGATCTGTTTATTCTTTTAGGGGGAACCATGAAAAAGGACAAGGCTGGTTGCAAGTGCAAGCTAACGTAGCCCAGGACCAGGGATAGGATGATATCACGCGCTGGCCCTACGGGTCCATGTACCCAAATAGTTTATACATTGGCCTTAAAGTAGTCCCTATATAGGTGCATTGGGCCTAAAGTATATACTACTTGGGTACATGGACCCTTCGGGTAGAGTTTAGGGCTTCGGGCTTACTGCTTGAGTAGGGCTTTACAGGGGTTGATCATGTGTTCATGCTGTGCGCTGCGCCCTGCTTCCCAACAAAAACTTCCGCGCAGAATAGTCCATGATTGGGGAGGGGGGTCCCCACACAAGCCCGGACCCAATGCAGCAACTCTGGAAGAGAAAATCCATTGCAGACGCAAGCCAGCCAGTACTATTCATGGGGCTTCTTCGCTTCTTAAAACCATCTAGCCTAGTTTCCAGTTGGAGATCTCCTGACCGCTAGGCCCATCTCAACTTCCGGCATCTCTAGGGTTCAGGGCCTACTATAAGGATTTTAACAATTAGAATAGGGTTTTGGGGGGATTCCTGATTGTAATGTTGTAAAATGGGCCCCCGAACCCTATTCTAACTATCCAGGCCCCTGTATTACAATATATTGGTATATACTGCTTGGAATCAACAGTAGTGCTGGTCCTGAGACTACGACTACCAACAGAGCCGACATGACATTCCTCAAGACCTTGTTCACCACGTTTTTCAGCGTTTTGCCCTACTGACCTCACCCCCGAAACATACGCCCAGAGTCCTGTGAGCTTCAACGCTGACACGGTCTCGTCCCAAGCCTGGTCCCGGGCTGTCCAGGTGTGAGGTTTTCGGGCATATGGGAGTTTCCGAAAATAGGGGACCCTAGTATAGTGCCCTAAATAATAGGATCCTTATTGTAAGGGCCCCAAAATAAGGTACCCCTATTTTCGGAAACGCCCATATCGTTGCATTCAGCATGCAGACGGAAGGGCTGAGTGCTCAGGTCTTGGGTCCCAGATTCAAGAATTTGTTGATTCCAGGCAGACGGGCGTTTTGGACTGTGGCGCTCTGGGCCGCGAGCAATCGCTGTGTAGCAACCGGACTTCGTGCATAGACCGAATCTCTAGAAAAGAGCTGAAGTCAAAATTCTGACCCTCTTATACCACCTCTACCCCAAACCCAGTAAGCCCCAAAAACCCTAAAGCTTCAATCCTAAACCTCAAGCCTTAAACCCTAACCTTCCCAAACCCTAAACCCTGAACCGTATTCCTCCGACGCCCCGAGCCCTTCCGGGACCCTGACTCCGTCCGTTACCATGCCAAAGGTCAGTGCATCCTCCACAGGAAATAGGGTTTAGGGTTTCGGGTTTACGGTGTAGGGCTTAGGGTAGCGATGTATTTATGGGTTTTCACGTCTTGGGATTAAAGTCTGAAGGCGTCGTTAGGGTCGTCGAAGCTACTGGGCTTCACGAATGCACTGATATGATATCACCGCATGGACGCCTCACGAAGCCATCTATGAAAAAAAAACCGGTTTGGGGTTGTCTAAGTGGGCGTTGTCGCAACGAGGTCCGTCGAGTTCTGCTTCGGGGTCGCAACTCGGAACCGCGTGGCTGCAGAGCAGGGCTGCGTCTAAGGCACCCTACACCCTAAACATCCGGCCTCCCTACGTCCCGGACACTCAACCCTAAACCCTAAACCAGTCGAAGGCACCTGGGGAGCCTGAATTCAACTCTTAAATCTACGATGGTCTGGAGCGTTGCATAAACTGCATAAACCCCAAATCATGGAGTCTGGCGAAGTTCGCTTACCTAACTCAACTAATGCCTACACTCCTAATTGAGCCCATACCGTCAATCACATCCTCAGAAGCTCTGACAGGCGATGGGGGTAGTGATGTTCTTCCTTTCAACCATAGTGCTCCTGGAGTCTTTCCGCCGGCCGTGCTTCCTCCCTGTGCTCAAACAGGGTCTGGGGATACAGTCACGGAACCTCCTAGGGCGAACCTCTGCATCAAATGACGATCCGACAAACCTTGTGACAAGACAGGTTAGGGCTTAGTGCTTCCAAGGCTTATGCTATGGTCTAAACCCTAAACCTTAAACCCTAAACCTCTAGGGTTTGGGGCTTAGGCTTCGGGTTAGCAGTCAGGCGCCTCTACACCCTATAAACCCTAATTTAGGGGCCTTACATAATGAGCAGAATAGGGTTTGGGGGGCCCGTCATACGATAACCAAAATGGTATAGGTAATTACTTAGGCCCCTTTTTCTCAAACACTCCGAGCCCTCCCTGCCAGCGGTCCTTGACAACGCGAACCGTGCGCAGCTCCCTGCCAAACCATTTTTGCAAAGGAAGATCTTAGGGCTTGAAGGCACCGGGGGGCGATTTCTGAAGTTTAGGGCATAGGATGTGTGTATGTGTGTGTATATATATATATGCATATATGAATGTGTGTATTATATGTACACATGTGTCTACACACATATTCCTAGATATGTCTATGCATATGCGTGCATGTACATGTGTACATTTATGTATGTTTACATTACATACTATGTATATATATATATATATATAGAGAGAGAGAGAGAGAGAGAGAGAGAGAGAGAGAGAGAGAGAGAGAGAGAGAGAGAGAGAGAGAGAGAGAGAGAGAGAGAGAGAGAGAGAGAGAGAGAGAGCGAGAGAGAGAAAGAGCTAGGGAGACAGAGGGAGGGAGAGAGATTCATGTACGGGTCTACCTTTTCATGTGTATACATACACTACCGAAAAAGGCCTGCAATGCGCATTCGGAAGAGAAATCCCACAAGTCAATCTCGAAACCTGCAAACGCTGTGCTTGCAAAGACTAGGACACAATCCATCAATCAAAGCACAGAATATGCTCGACAGTTTTCTTGGCCTGCAAGTCCTTACGCACTCAACAGTATATCCGAAATTATCAACCCGAAACCTTGTTAATTTAAGCCTTCTAAAACAAATAATCCTGGCCATGTTCAGTTCAATCAAACTCTTACCTAATTACTGGCCTCAAGTCACGGACCCTCTGGGCTATCAAAACCTTTACCCCAAAGCCTAAACCCTCCCTGTAAGACCCTTCTTGAACCTTTAGAACCCTTGTGACAGATCTAGAGAACCCCAATGAAGCCCTGAATGAATCCTACACACCAAAAAAGCCCTATCAAAGGCACCGGCAAAACCACGACTCTTTCACAGGGTTTTTTGAATTTGGGCTTATTGAATAACATGCACCTCCAAAAAGCCGATACAACCTCATGGAAGCCTTAAACCCGAAGTAAACCCTAAACCCTAAACTCCTCAAGCTCGCAAAACTCCCTAAACTCCCTAAACTCCCTAAACCCTCAACTAAGTAAACCTCTAAAACAAATCCGTAACCAGTGGCCTCCTTGGGCCCGGCACGAAGGGCTCGGGTGGAGGCACCTCCTCGTCCTCTTCGGGCTTTTAGGGCTTAGGGTTTACTGTAAATTCCATAAAGTTGGAAACCGGATTAAGGCCAAATAGTGCTGGGATTCCCTATACATTACTCTTATGGATTCAGGCTATTGGGTTTCCAACTTTGAGGCTCCTACTGTACTGTAAAAGAAACAGTGCCCTTCGGGTTCAAAGTTTAGGGCTCAGGGTTCAAAGTTTAGGGTTCAGGGTTTAGGTTTGTGGGGCTGCCTCTGTTGATGGGATGCTTTTGCTGAGTTGTGCTTAGGAAAGGCTTCCACATGGGTCCCTTCTGTAAGGGTTAGTAAGGGTTTAAAAGGTCTCAGTAAGGACTTCCACGTTCAGGATTTAGGGATTTAAGGTTACCGCGTTTCGGGTCAAAGGCTAAAGGCGTATGCCTGCATCCATGTCAAACAGGGCTCTAGGCTTTGAGTGTTATAACAGATTTCGGGGCGACAGTTCGGCCTTTCCACAGTTTGGGATTTATGGGTGAGGAGGCTTGTATAAGGTGAACCGTTGAGGGTCGGTGCAACCGGGAAATTTAGAAACGAACCCTAAGCTGTACTATAGGGGCCTTAATAAGTACCAATACTATTTTTGGGGAGGGGTCCTTATCATGAGTATAGTATAATGGGCTGACTTCGGCTGCTGTGCTGCTGCCGACTTGGCCTGCTGAGGCTGTGCTGCTGCTGCCGACTTGGCCTGCTCAGGCTGTGCTGCTGCTCCTGCCGACTGGGCCTGCTGAGGCTGTGCTGCTGCTCCTGCCGACTTCGGCGGCTGAGCCGGTGCTGCTGGAGCCTTGGCCTTGGGGCGCTGAGCCTGAAGAGCTGCTGCTGCAGGCGGTGGCGGACCAAACGACTTCGGCTGTCCGCTTGGTGCTGGTGGAACTGCCGACTGGATCATCTGTGCTGCCGCTGGTGCTTCCAGCTCGCCTTCTGCCGGAAGGTGCACGGTCGACACCCTCTGGTCGAACAACTGCTGGGCCGAGGTAGGCATGTTCGTGATCGCCGATGTAGCAGAGGAGCCCAACTGCTGAACCGCCTGCCGAGCCGCCTCGTCCATGAGAGCTGGCGGGCCATTGCGGGCCAGAACGGCATTGTTCTCATCGTGGGACCGGTGGGCCAAAAAAATAATCTAATTATTAAGGCCCCCTATAGTAAACCCTTATAGTATCCCTCAAACGAGCCCTAATGATACCCTTTAAAGGAACCTTATTCTAATTATTAAGGCCCTTAAAACCCTAAACCCTAAACTAAACCCTAAACCCCAAAACCCGAAAAAGGCCCTGAAATTACCCTCAACTGGTCTAGGTCCTCATCCGTTGCAGAGCTGAGCTGCTCCTTGCTGAAGCTCTCCCCAGTCGCAGAGGCCACCTGAGCTTTGGGGGTTCCTGAAAGGGGGTGAAGGGTTTAGGGGTTTAGGGTTTAGGGGTTTAGGGTTTTTTTGGGGGGGTTAGGGTTATGGGGTTTAGGGTTTTTTGGGGGGGGTTAGGGTTATGGGGTTTAGGGTTTACCTGAGCTTCTTACCTCTGGTTAGTAGGGAATGGAAGAATGGTCGTAATTGTAGTTATAATTGTACCCCATTCCTCCATTCCCTACTAACCAAAGGTAAGTTTAGGGGTTTAGGGGTTTAGGGTTTGCAGGGTTTAGGGTTTAGAGACTTAGGGTTTATGGTTTTGGGTTTAGGGTTTAGGGAGGTTTTGCAGGGGTCCATGAGGGTCTGCATCAGGAGTTTCATAAGCGGTCGACAACGCTTCAGGGTTGAGGGTTTGCGGGTTTCAGGCTCCGGCTTGGCGTTCGGCGCGTAGGGCTGAGGGACCAAATATGTCGACTGAGGGGTTTAAGTTAGAAGCTGCCCCCACTCCTTCACCTCCTGCTCTGTGGTCATGACCACCAAAGAATCCTTCAGGTCACCAAGCTGCGCTGCCTCCATCTTGTCGAGGTGGTTCTTCAGAGAGCTTGCATACTCTTCCGAAGTGTGCTCAGCGATGCTTTTCATGACCTGCACGACCAGCGCAGAGAATTCAACCTCTGCAGTCTTCTCGGCCATGGGCTTTGACTGAGTCAGTTCAACCCATTCAGCCAATGCAGAGAGTGCACGCCTGAGGCCCAACTTACTCTGACTCGTAAGCCAGGGTGCGATTGATCTCGCACTCTGTCTCATTGTCAACGCAGTTGAATCCGCGCCGAGCTGTTCCAAGCACACCCAGATCAGCAAGTCCTTGACCTGCTGCTCGCTGAGTGTCTGGATCCAGGCCTTGTAGTCCCTGGAGACTTGATCTCCTTCACTGGAGGTTTGAGCAGCTGCCTGAACCGCTGCACGAACAGACTTGTTCGTCAAGAATCCCTTGATCACATCGGCCGCACCCGTCTCAGCAATCCTTGAGGCTATGGCAGCAGCCTGTGCCTCGCTTTGCCCTTCCTTCTGCTTCTGCGCCCATGTGGCTGCCCTGTCTTTGGTCATCTCAGGATGAGAGAGGGAGAAAGAATTTTAGGGTTCAGGGGAGGACTAAAGCATACAAAAACAGCATGCGACAGTAGCAACACCCTCTAAACCCTGAAGCCTCAACCCAGGAAAGATAAGAGCAGCAAGAAGAAGGCCCCATGTAGGAAGCCGACAAAGGAGCCCCCGGCTCCTGTCCTGGCCCTTATGATGTGGATCCTACCCATAACACGCTAAATCCCAAACCGTGCAAGTTAAAATCTACAACCCTGAAGCACTAAAAGTCTAAACCCTGGTAGCAACCCTAAAAGGATCAAATCCCTTCCAGGAGCCAAAACCGCATTCGGAGATCTGAGGTGTCCACCGACATTGATTTTACCTCCGGCCAGGCACGGAAGCAGAATTTTAAGGGCTTTAGGGCTGTGGGTTTAGGGCTCGGGTTGGCTTAGTAGAGGGAACCCTCAGTAGAAAATGGATAAGGAGGGTACTTTTTCAGGCCCCGCAACCCTAAACCCCAAACCCAAACCCTAAACCCATATAGCTCCCTTGTAGAACCCTTAAAGGGAACGCGTTAAGGACCCCTCTTTCCTTAAGCTGCACCGAAGCGGTAGCAGATGATCATGTTCCAAAGCCGCAGAAGAAAAGCTAGGAGATCCCAAAAACGACATGAAAGGATTACTTGGAAGGGCAGGGGACTTAGTAAGTAGGTTATAAGTAGAGTTATAAGTACCCTAAATGGAGTTACCCCAATTATAACCCTACTTATGAACGACTTACTAAGTCCCCTGCCCTTCCAAGTAGGGTTCAGGGTTTGACGCTTTGGCTTCATGGTTTAGGGTTTACGTTTAAGTTTTGTGGTTTGGAATTTTGGTTTTCGGGCGTAGAAAGTACGGTTTAGGGTTTAGAGTTCCTTTTTTTGGTTTGCAGGATTTGGTTGGTTTTTGCGGACCCCCTAAATCCTACCCACGCCCAAAACCATAGCCTCTGTCTGTTCCGAAAGCGGAGGCACGGATTCTCCAACACCTCGCTGATATGCCTGAGGGCTTCCCAGAGACTCCAATATCCCTCAACTAAAGAATATATAGTAAATTATGATAGGATACCGAACATAATTTAAGGCATATTAAAACACCTTAAATGAAGAATAGACCCTTAAATAAGGAATATACCCTTCAATTATAGAAGGGCTCATATATTTTAAGGCATATTCCTTAATCAAGGGATATTGGAGTCTCTGGATTCTGGGAGTTGGGGTCGGGCTCTGGGTTGCGGGTTTAGGGGTGTAAAATTCAAACTTTGTGGCTAATGTAGGCCTTTTTTAGGGTTCCTTTGAAGGGGTCTATAACGGTAACTATAAGGGATCTATAAGGGTACTATAATAATGTAGGAACCTGATTAAAGAACCTTGGGCCTTTATTCGGGTTCCTCGTATGATCCTACTATTCAGGTTCCTACCTTAGGTGTCTGGGTTTAAGGTTTTAGCGATTGCATGGAGCTTCGGTTCAGAGTTCAGTTTCTGTGTGTTGACAAGGATTTCAGGGTTTAACTTCAGGGTCTCAGGGTGAAGGGTTTATGGCTTGGCGCTTCAGGGTTCGGGGCTCAAGGTTCAGGGTTTCGGGCTCAGAGTTTAGAGTTTACTTGGAGGATCATGGGACTTAGTAAGTAAGACTATAAGTACCTTGACTGGAGTTATAAGTAGTTATGAGTAGAGCTACCCTAATTATAACCCAAGTCCCATGCTGCTTTAAGTAGGGGTTTCAGGGTTCAGGACTTGCTGTTACGACTTCGAGCTTTCAGGGTTGAGGGCATCATGCGAAGGCTGGCAAATCTGAAGCAGCTCCCTTGTCATGCCTTAGGCCTTAGGTGTGACTGAGGTTTAGAGTGAACCCTCAAGCTCGAACCCTAAACCCTAAAAATCCTAAGCTCAGAACCCCAAAATCCTAAAACTAACAATTGGAATGCCAAATCCTAAACCCGAGTTTCAGTGGGTTCGGCCCATCCGAAGTCACAAGTGAGGAGAAGCAGATGTGGAAGATAAGTAAGCAGGCGGCAATTCGTCCGGTAGGGTTCAGGGGTTTAGGGGTTTGGGTTTAGGGTTCAATTAGGGGTTTAGGGTTTAGGGGTTTAGGGTTTTCGAGATATGTGACATATGCATGGTCTCGTTAGCGTCCCGGCCGCATGCGGATCTGAACCCCAACACCCTGAACCTTGATATGAGGGGCTGAAAGACTAGCTTTATTGCCCTTGGATAAACAGGATGGTATTCCCCCACAGCCCGATTCGAATCTATTAGAAGCCGACACCCTCCTAAGGCCCTCACCGTGCGCAGGATCACGGAGCGATCGGAGGGGACCAAGATCTTCTCTACGATGCGACAGTAGCCCACCTGGGATTTCCGGCTCAGGGTTGAGGGTCTAGGGTTTAGGGATTAGGGTTTAGGGGTTTAGGGTTTAGGGCTTAGGGTTTAGGGGTTTAGGGTTTAGGGGTTTAGGGTTTAGTACCTGCCTGTGGTCTGCATCTGTTGATGCATGCACCTGTTGCACAAAAACTCAATCTTCGTCTGTCATTACATGTTTAGGGCTTAGGGCTATTAGAGTTTACAGGGTTTAGACATTAGGGTCTAGAGTCTAGAGTTTAGGACCTGCAACCGCTATGTGTATAGAGAGAGAGAGAGTGAGTGAGTGAGTGAGTGAGTGAGTGAGAGAGCCTGCGAGAGTTACGCAAATAACGAGCTAGGTATACAACAACTGAAAAGCCTAAGAAGAAATAAACGAACCCATGAACGACTACATGAAAGAAACGAACACACAAGCAAATGAACAAACGAACTACAAAGTTGTGACGAGATTTAAACAAAACAACCAAACAAAACAAAACAAAAAACAAAAAAAGATAAGCGAAGTTACTAAACAAGTAAACAATTGAAGCTAAGAACAAAAAAACAGCAGCAAAGGATGCTTCTGAGATGTCCACCTCTCTGGCATCCATGTCGAGGACCTGTGGGTTAACATAGAGGCCTAAATAGTTAGAATAAGGTTGGGGGTTTAGGGTTTAGGGTTTAGGGTTTAGTGGTTTAGGGTTTAGGGTTTAGGGGTTTAGGGTTTAGATCCATAACAGTATTGGTAAGAATTTAGGCCACTATATTAGGCTCTATAGGGCACCAGGAAAGGGGGTTCCCAGAGAACCCAATACCCCCTTTAATTAAGGAATATACCTTAGATTATAGATGCCTTAACCCTAAACCCCAAACCCCAAACCCCAAACCCTAAACCCTAAACCCTAAACCCTAAATCCTAAACCCTAAACCCTAAACCCTAAACCTGATCCCTTGATATTATGGTTTAAAGTATGTCCCTTAATCAAGGGGTATTGGGATCTCTGGCTTCAGGGCTTCCTTTGAAGGGATCTACAAGGGTTCCCTAGAGGGGTCTATAAGGGTCCTATTAGGGTTACTTTAAGGGGTATTACGGGGGTGTAATATAGGGGCCTAAATAGTTACCTGTACTATAGAGGCGTGAAAATTATTCCCGACCTAGGGTCATTCTCTATTTTAACCCACTTTCACTCTCCTCCAAACGAATCTTGGCCGCTTCACAATCGTCGCTGCTGGCGTTGTGACGTCAAGAGCTTCATCTGGCTCTTCTTCCTCAGCTTCAGTAACCTTCTTCTTGTTTGTCTTAATTCGTGCATAAAGCATTGAGTAGGTCCTAAATGCCGACGGAAACGCGAGGTTTCCAGCTTGAGCGGTGTAATCGAAGGTCGGGGCTTGGATCGCCAGGTAATTCTGCCAGTTCGGGCTCATGATAAAATTCTTGTAGATCCTGAACTGGTTTCCTGCGACATCGTCTGGCGTCACAGCATACTCCTCCATGAAATGGTACAAAGCGTCCTCAATCGTGTACTGAGAAGCACTCGTCTGGAGTATCCTTAATGCCGCCTCCCTTACCGCTGGGGTGCCTTTAAGGGTTCCCTTTAAAGGGGTCTGCAAGGATTTCTATAAGGGGTACTATGGGGGTGTAGTAAAGGGCCTAAATATTTACCTGTACTATTTTGGTGAGTTCCTTGCTATGATGATAGATTATAGTATAAAATACACCCCAAAACCTTGTTCTAATTATTAAGGCCCCTAAAATAGGGTTTTTGAGGGCCTGCTGGCCTCTTAAAGAGGCGTTTAAGAGAGTTCTTGTGCGGTTTCGTAAGGGTCCGACAGCGGTTAGGGGTTCAGGGTGTAGGTTTTGGGTTGAATATTGAAAGGTTGCATTGATGGCTCCTAGCCCTAAACCCACCCTAAACCCTACACCCTAACCCGCAAATCCACACCCCTAAACCCTACGCCCTAACCCCTAAACCCCAACGCTTCTGGGTAATGTAGGAACCTGATTAAGAAACCTTGGGCCTTTATTAGGGCTCCTTTTTCGAATCCTACTATTTGGGGGTTATAGGCCCAGGGTTTCTTAATCAGGTTCCTACATTAGAGTTTCTAATTTCAGGCAGCGAAATCCTAAATCCTAGAAATTACTAGAAATTTTTTGCGTGGGGTTTTGATCTCGATTGTGTCGCTGCTCTCCCCACCAGAGCTGTAATGAATATAAGTGTGGCTGGCTTGCACTCTCCACAGACTGGGACCCTGTCTCTCTCACACTTCCACACGTGCAATCCTATGCAGGCAGAACCGGCGGCCGTTCCTTTTGCACTCGCTGCCGGCGGCGGTTCGTCTGTGCACGGGATAGCTCTGATTGCTCAGGATAGAAGACACATATAGCACTTAGCTATGGGCATTGACTTGAGCCAAACGTTGCGTGGGCGGTCACATAGAAAGGTAAGGAGAAGCGATACGGTGTGCGTAGCACGTCCGCAAGCTTACTCCTAGAGTCGAGGGACGCGTAGCGTGCCCCCTTCTCTTGCACTTTACACGGTCTTGCTCACAGCTCTTATAGTGACACCTTAGAACTTGACAAGGCATCGCAGTCCGTTCGCACCCCCCATGAGTTGCGTCTCCGACGCTGCTCACCCGGAAGATGGCACGATAGGACAACAGAAAATGTTCCGCCGCAACGTTGACATTGAAAATCAGAGCTTTGCATCCCAATTAGAAACGTTGTGACACTCATCTACGTCAGTAACGATCCCCTGAAATGGCAAACGAATCAGGCGTCACCGAAGAAAGAAGCATTCGCGATGGCATTCCACGGGCGAAGCTCAGAGGTCACGAACTGAAAGATGATGTGGTTCAAGCATTGTCTCGCCACCATCTTCGCGTTGACGTAGGATCGCGGTCCCAGGGCCGGAGGTTCTCCTCTGGATACGGGTCCCTTTGCTTTCCTTTGTCCTTGCCTTTGTTTCGGCCCTTACTGGCAATGTAGTCATGGTAGGTGTTGGTGTTCCAGCCTCCATGCTGCTCATTTCCAGTTCTCTCACGCCCTTTTGAAGGTCCCTTGGCCGAAGAAGCGCTTGCACGTTCCTCCGCAGTGACAGGCGTGTCCATGATGGAAGTACCACCTGGAGGGAGATAGTCAGCGGCCGAGATGTGATGTAGGGCTTCAGTACGTTTGGTTGTCGGATTTTGCTGTCTCTCAGCCTTGGATCTGACCAATCTGTCCATGAAATGCGCAGGCATTTGCACATTGTGGTCCACCAGCAATCCAATGGTCTGGACTGAATGATCGGCATGAGTCAGCAGGATACCGACGGGGTCGATGTACAGGAAGTCCACCGGTCCAGTTGGCGTTGGTCGTAGCACTGAGAATTGTTGGTGTCCTGTCACCATCGGAATCACCTCGCACAGGACGTTCAGGCAACAGAAGTGCATAGCCTTCACATCTTCATCCCTGTTGCTCTTCAAGTACGTAGTAGGGTTGAAGTTGTCCCTGCCAATTCCCATCATGTTGGCTCCCCGTGTAAGCAACGAAAGCATCTGATTCGTCCGGAAGCGCTTCAAAGTGTAAGTCCCGTTGGGATCGTACTGCTTGAGGTTCTCAGGCTCCTTGGCAAAGCGAATGATCTCCTCGTCAGTCACATCCCTGCTCACACCCGTTTCTCTGTCCACTCCAGCCAAAGATCCCCACTTTCCGAGCACATCATAGCGTTGGCCAAGTGCGAAATTCTCCCTCATCTGGAACAACGGCATAGTCGCCCACTTCGCGAATCCTGACCAAGCCTTGTAGATGGTTCTGCACACCACGAATGCCATATACGAAAGAGCGGCCATGTTGGCGTCAATGCAATGGGCATTTCGCTTTCCTGGGTAGTAGGATGGCTGCATGGCGGTACGTGCGAGTTGTAGTTCAGGATCGATGTTCAAAGACTGGCCGGCGATGAGGACGGGACGTCGTTCCTGTGCAACTGCATCTGGTACTGCGTCATCAAAGTCCTCTCCTGGCTCTGTGTCCATTTCTTCATCAGGTTCCTGTTCTGGATCGTCCTCCGCGACGACAGATGGCTCTGGGATTTCCTCAGGTTCCGCAACGGTCTCTGTCTCCATGGCTTCCTGCTCCTCGACGGTCGCCTCAGGCACTGCTGCTGCCGCAGCTTCCATTGTCTGAGCAATGAAGTCACTGGGGATCTCCGTAGGAGTCTCCCGTTGTGGAGTACCTTGGTAGTATCCGCAAGAAACGAATTGTGACCAGCAGGACGTGCATCGGGAGAAGCATGCTGGAACGATGTTGTAGCATGCCGGGCACACCCTCATTCTCCTTCCATCCTCGTCTCTGCGTAGGTCTTCGGGTCGCCAATTCTTGATGACAAACTTGATCCCTTTGTCCATGTAGTGATGCCGAACCGTGTTCTCCCTGTGGGACTCCAGGACAGTCGTAAGGTCTCGCATGATCTGCTCCTTGCTGGTGTCGTGGGGTCCAGGAGGCATCTCGCAAAGCAATTCCATGATCTTGCTTGGTGTTCGGTATCTCTCGAATTCAGGGAGCAAAGGTGATGCATTGTAGTCCAACACCATCTCTTTCTCCAATCGTTCATCGTAGATCTTTTCCACCAGAGCGAAAGAGTGTGTATCTTGAGGATTCGGGACGCAAAACCATACCTCCTTGACGAACTGGAACGGTATCGTTCGGCCAACAATGATGATGCCGCTGTCTGTGATACGTCCATCTTCTCGTGCAAGGTCCTGCGAAGGGACATGGAGGACTGCCAGCGGCATGTGCTTGGCTTGTGGTCCATGTACCCGCATCTTGGTCGTCGCATTCCGGTGATCGAACGGTGCGAATACCCCCCAATAGCTGTGGAGTCTGCCGCCTTGGTTGCCTCGAAATTGGCGCCTATGGTCGAAGTCCCCGTCGGGGTCCTCCGAACCAGGCATGATGCCTTGCGTGACAATGGAATCCAGGTTGCGGCATGCCGTAGCGTGGAACGCGCCTCCAAGACGTTGCAAGAGGGTCATAGATGGAGATATTGCGAACCTGTTCTTGTCCAACTGAAGCAAATTGTTCTGGGGATCGGAGTGCGCAGAGTGACCACTCGTAGCCCGAACTGCCCATGGCTTCACCCAGCCGTTGCAAACGTTCAGGTACCTCTGGCTGTGCCGGCAACGATCATTGTTCTGGATCTCTGTGATCTGGTCAGGAATCGATACCAACATGTTCGAGCCTGCGGATCCAAGAGTCTCCGTGCCGGGGTCCTTCACTCTCACTCCCAGGAACTGCAGCCGAATCTTGGCCTTGTGGCGTCTCGTGGCTGCGAGCATGTTCCCTTGGAACAATAGCTGGAGTCTTTCATTGTACACTCTCTTCCTCTGTTGATCATCGGTCCTTGAGACCGCTTCTGTGATGCGTCTGCTGTCATGGGTCCATAGTTGCTCATGCCTCACCAAATCCTCGATCAGCACCCACCCTCCTTCATCACATCGAATGACGCTGCTGAATGCCACTTGGCACCTGTTGTCAAGCCATTCCGAGCCTGGGCGCCTGGCGATTCTGTGACGCAGGTCAGATTGAATGCATGATAGCGCCCAATCCGCGTTCCTTCTTCGATGATGGGTGATGTTGCGA